TAATGCTTTTGCTTAGATATTACGGATTATTATATATTACGGATATTTATTTGCGTTACTATTGGGCCTCGGGATAAGGCTGTTTTATGCCTTCTTCTTGCTCCAGCCAATTGTACTTTTTATATTGTTGTACTTTGTGAATATTTTTAACGGCAAAATAAACTAAAAAACTAAAAAAACTATATTTTTGTATACTTCGTATATTTCAAACATTATGTTTATGATATTTATGTTTGTATATCTTTACCGCCAATCTGTGATTGGTTACTTGGAAATACTTTGTAATTGTAAAATAAACATGTAAAATAAAAATATTACTACTGTGACGAAAGTTAAGTATTAAAAAGGTTTTTCCGACCGGGCCAAAATGACTTGTTCATCATCTATGTTAAACGGAAGTATACTTGTATTGTTTGCTTTTCTTGTATTGTTTAATCATTATTTTATTACGAAATACAATATTTTGTTTGACAATAGTTTTATTTTGTTGTTATTTTTTGTGCATAGTCCGATATAAATATATAATTTATTAATTTTTAAAATCACACCTTTATTTGTATTACTTTTTCTATAAACAAGAATTTGTGATAAAGGTTTTTGATGCGTTTATAGCTTCATAGAGTTTTATTTTTTTAAATCTTAAACTTTGTTAACTCAAATCAAAAGATGACGATTGGAGTTAACATCGGTTAATGAGTTTTTCCTCAGCTAATTTCAACTTTTAGAGTGGTTTTTTGACACATCAGTTACGCGGAATGATTTTTTTATCTCTTCTGAATCAAGTTTTAATTCTTGGAACAGTTATTGACTAAGATAAGCGTTTTCCGAAACATTCATCATCTTGCCTCGTGTTACCCTATTCTAACTTCATACATTTGAAGTATTGATCTTGTTTTAGTGTTTGACAATATCATACAGATTTTTTGCGCGACATTCTACTGAATACAATTATCTTATTACATTCACTCGCGACATTATACTGAATACAATTATCTTATTACATTCCTTATCGTACAATCATTTTAAGATGCAAATATCATATTGAATCTAAAAAATGTTTTTGATTCATTCTTTGTTTAATTTCTATTTGAAACTAAAATGGAAAAATTATTTATATAACTTTTATTTCTAAATTATCCTTTTTTTGATTTTTATTTGTTATTAGATACGACATATACGGCACGATTTTGGCATCATCTTTGATTTAAATTGCATCATCTATACAAAGGTTGGTGCAAAAGTGGTCTAGACGCTGCCGTACACGCAATATCTTTATCCGGATGGATGGAATATTTTTTAAGCAGTTACTCACTGGCGTGTACACTCTCACCATTATAAAAGTTCCAGTTAATCAGAATAATTTTCTATTCATTTAGTTATTTACTTAATTAAATCTAGCTATAGCAAATAAGTTATAGATATTCGTATTTTAGTATAGATGGACACTTAACACAAGTAACAATTTGGTTGTTTTACTTATTTGCGTCTAAAACAATATCTTGTTTATTTATTTATTTTTTTAATTTGTTATTTAGGTACCCCAAGAAGTTCGGTCTTATCTCAGGAATCCGCGGAAGTGCATTTAGCCAAAAAAAGCATGTCTCCTTCCTTACCGCGACGCGGTATATGTCTATAGCTCGTTTTTTGAACATGGATTTCCTGCTTATAAAGCAAGCGCTCAAACCACTGCGCCACGCGTTTATTTGCTTACCCCTTATTTGTCACACATTATGCAGCCACCAGATATTGGTGTCTTACTTTTTTTACTTCAGCAATTTTATACAGACACAAAGATTAGTAATTTATTTAAATAATTCTTTAGTCAACTGCAAGTAAAACTCTGGTGAAGTTTTTACACGTACAAATAGTCGCTGAATCTAAAAATACCGTTTTGTTTGCACTCAAATCAATAAAATTGATCAGTCAAATTTATAAGTTGCTAATAAGTTTAATACACCATCATTTCATTTCGAGTCTCTCAATCTAATTACCAGTCTCTTTGGCGATACCACCATAATTAGCACCAATAACAACAGCATCTTAGCCAATGTTTTGCGAATCTACACAAATAACACCTAATATCAGCATACGTTGTATCTCAGCAGTTCCAAAGTAAATTCCAAAGTAAATTTGACTAAAACCAACTTTTATTTTTGTAGTAACTCGTACTTAGGCTTCGTAAAAAGCTGAAACAATTGTAACCAAAAAAGTGAACTTTGGAATAAAACTAGTGGCAGTATTGTCGGCTTAGTTGCGGATTAATGCTTTCATAATGGTTATTTTCGGGAAAATGTATTAACAGAGTCAAACTTTTTATATCCATGAAATATCCAGTTCAAGAAGTGAAACTAAAAAAAATAATTTTATTTAATAATTTAATAAAATAATAAAAAAGATAATTTTCATAGAAATATTATAAACGCTACAAAAAAAATTTAAAATGAAAAAAAAAGTTAGCACTGATATATGATATTTTGATAGGTCAATAAAAACACCTAGTGTGTATTGGGATTTTTCGAAAGATTCAGAGATGTTGTGTATAAATTGAATAATGGCATTTTCAGTTGAACTCCCTTTTCTGAAACCATACTGATTGTGATGAAGTAAGTTGTTGTAATTAAAATAATTGTATACCCTATTGAAGATAATTCTTTCTAAAATTTTAGAAAATATAGAAAGAACAGAGATGGGACAATAATTACTGATATTGGATCTGTCGCCTTTTTTATGGATAGGGGTAACCCTGGCAAGTTTTAAACGTTCAGGAAAAATACCTTGATGGATTGATGCACTGAAAATTTTAAAAAGAATATTTTTTAAAAAGAATAAGAATGATTTATAAAGCGTTTTAAAGTAACTATTTTTTTTTTACTTTATTTTTTCTTTTTTTATGTAACTGATTATTAACTTGCATTATTTATATAGCTATGTTAAAAGTATTTGGGATATGGTTTTCCTCTCTTTAAAAAAAAACGTTTTAGATATGGTTTTTTTTATCTAAAAAAAAAAGTTTTAGAAATGGGTTTTTTTTATCTAAAAATTTAATATAGTTTTTAAAAAAATACTATATATACTATAATATAGAAAATAACTTTTAATACAGTTTTTCTAAAAAGTTATTAATTATAAACATAGATTTTGAATAAAAAATGAAAATCAAAACAAGATGTTGTTGGTGTTTTGAAATAAAGTTTTAACTAATGTAACGTTATAAGAAATAATGGAAAGGTTTAGACAGAAAAACGTTTTTTGAAAATCTATTTCTACTCAGTTTTTGACTCAATTTTTATAATAATTGTAAATAAATTTTTTGTTGTTACCAAAACATTTTATAGTAAGTTATAAAAACAACAACCTTCTTTCTTCATTTTTTGACACACTGTGCATCTTAATATATGCATAGATATTGATTATAATAAAATACCCAGCAGCGAAAATATACGAATTGTGAGGCTTTGTTTGGCTCATTTTGTGTAAGTATAAAACATGAAGTTGTGCTAACGCAAATAAAAAATGTTTCATTATGTTTAATACCAACAGCACAACTTTGTAATTACCACATTGTATAAGTATGTAGTTTCAGTTTGTTCATGTTGTATAGTCATGTTGTAGAGTCAGTAAGTCTGTTGTTTCGGTTTGTTCAAATTTTTTTATTTAAGTGATAGTTTGTTACGTATAGAAACGTAACAGAAAAAAAAAACTTTGTTAAACACAAATCAAACAATCGTAGTTTTTCACTAAAAATATCTCTAACAATTTCCTTTAAACGCAAGAAAAAAAAAAAAAAAAGTAAATGTAAGTAAAAGATTTTCATTTCTTTAAAATGAGTATGAGGTTCATTATTTATTTTTAGTAAAACGCTTAAGGACCCGTTTTTTTATTAATTAAACAACTATGTTTAACGTTGGTAATAACAAGGCTGTTTCAAGCACAAAGTAAATGAGGTGGTTTCATTTACGTAATAATTTCATCAAAAGTGTTAAGCCTTATTTTTAAATAATAAATGCGTTTCCTATAGATTCAGATAAAAAAAAAAACCATTCATTATGAAATTGTTTTTTTCTAATTTTTGACATTTGCAAAAAATTATATATATATATATATATATATATATATATATATATATATATATATATATATATATATATATATATATATATATATATATATATATATATATATATATATATATATATATATATATATATATATATATATATATATATATATAATTATATATATATATAGCGCGGTATTCACAGAAATAGCACTCACATTTTTTATTTCCTCAAAAGGTTTTTTAAAAGAAGGTCTTTTTATTTACAGATATTTTTCCAAAATTTAACTGCATAATCAATTTTGTTTTTATACAAAGGTTTTCTTCTTTGCTATATAGCCTTATAAGCCGGCTTTTTGTAAACGACGACAATTGGTTTAGGCTGACAAAACAACGTCATACTGCTCTCTAAAGTTAGGTTTTGTTTTAATAAAAATTAAAATAAAATCTTTTTTAACTTTTATTAAAATAAAATACATTTGGCAATTTATATTGATTGAGGTTTTTCTAGGCGGTAACTTTCTGATGGAACTTTATCATCAACGGAATTGTATCTTTCAATATATATACAACAGATTTTAACTAATTTTTTAGAACACATTAGCCAACGCGATAATTGAGAAATCCTTAGTCGATACAATAACATATTTAAAATTGTTTTTCTTACTTCTACTGAGCAATATTCGTTTTGCCTCATACTCAGTTACTTTAAATTAAAACTGAATGCTATTTCTAGGATCACGACTGTATATATATGTATATATATATATATATATATATTCCGTTAAACTTCGCCGCAAGTAAATTCGATTCAAAGTCTCTTGAATGAATGATTGAGATCATTAAAAAAAAATAAATCCCTAATGAATTACTCATTGCGAAAGTCTTTATTTATTAATAAAGTTTTTTTTTTTTAATATACCAGAAAAAGCAAATTCTATATGACTTCTTATTAAATTTACTGTTTAAAAGTGTTCAATTTCGTTTCACTAATGTAAAAATTTCACTTTACTGATGTAAGAGAAAAAAAAAAATGTAGTTTGCTCGTTTATAATCAATAAAAATTATGTACTTATTTAGCATTCTGATTAACACCATTTTGTGGTTGGAACTTTCAGATGGCATGATCTTTCCACCAAACAATGCCGCTTATTCTGTTTCGACAAATAACTATACTTCACCATCGACAACATATAATTTAACAGACAAATGGCAGTTTTGGTAAATTGGCTTAAACTATATTTTAAATCTGTTACGAATGTAGTAAAAATATTTCATATTAATTTTATTGGAAAAAATATATATTTTGTCAAAAACAATTACTAAATATATTTATTATTTGTTAAAAACATAGTTTTAATAACGGTATCGGGCTAATATTTTGGGACTGGATCATTCAGTGGGAACCCTACGGGCATTTGTTTTTAAAAGTTACGCTCTAAATGTCTTTTAAACGTTTTTTAAACGTTCTTTACGGAAGAATGTTCAGAAAACCTTTAAAAGACATGTAAAATACATTTAGAACGTAACTTTTAAAAACAAATGCCCGGTGGGAAAGGTTGAGGCTGTCTAAAAATCAAAAACTTCTTCTTTTCTTCACTTTAGTTTTGGCACCTTCAAGCAACCTCTCAGGGCAATCACTGTTTTATTTTAGTTCGACCCTGTTTAAAAAAAGAATTAAAATATTCCAAAACAAATTTTATTTTTATATACTATTTATATTTCTTAGGTTAAGCATCGTACTAGTGATTGTAATGATATTGGCTTGTCTCGGACTGAAGTTTCACCGGTATTTAAAAAAAAAGAATAAAATGCGCCTACGTTTTGAAGCAAAGAAAGACCAGGTTCCAAACTTTGAAAACTTTGATAACCCTCCTTCATACAGTCAAATATTCCGTCATGCACCTTCGGAAATGGAAAACAACTTTTTTGATTTCCAACTTGATACTGTAATTACCCCAAGAAACTACGATATGTTTTTTGCTTATCCGCTAATTCAACAACAAAGTAATACAACAACACAATCAGAATTAAACGTAATCAATCCTGCCTGCACTTCATACAAAGCTGAAGTTGAAAAAACTAATCCTGAAAATACAGATTCCGTTGTAAAAATAGCTGATTCCGAATCAATAACTACGGATTTGGTTTTAAAATCTATGGATTCCGCTCTAAAAATTGAAATGGAAAAAAATATCAATATACAAGAACCATAAAAAAGTTCAGTTATTTAATTTTTATTTAACTTATTACTGTAATTTTTATTTACGTGACCAACACTATATTCGCCCCGGAATATGTTTAGATGCACCCTTCAGGCAAAGACAAATTCCGAAAATACTGTGAGAAATATTTTATATGAGATTGAAGGTTGGGAAATAATGAGACTAACACCCTCATGGCTTAAAGAAAAGAGTAAAAATTGTATACCATAATTATTTGCTATTGTATTCTATTGCTTTGTTTTATTATAAGTTTTATAACATGTAGTATTTTATGCTTTATTATTTAAATAATTCAAAATTTATATTCTAAATTTCTAATTTATTAAAAGAAATTTAATGCTCATTTATAAAGAGAATAAATATTTTTTTCCTCGTTTATAGACAACAGCTGATTCTAATAGCTTTTAATTCTTATTTGTGGCAAGGTGCTAAATGTGGCATTTTATTGCTCATTTGTGGCATAGTGTTAAATATGGCATTTTAGTGTTAATTTGTGGCATGGTGCTAAATGTGGTATTTTAGTGCTCATTTGTGTCATGGTATCATGTAGCAGAAGCATATAAAAGAACTTAATTGCAAAAGGTTTTATAAAAATGAATTTGTAAGGTCTAAAGCAATACAATATTGGGTTTCTATTAATGTAGGGTTTGTTTCAAAATTCCGTTATCTTTCTTTTAGTGGACGTCTCAAAATGTTTAAAAGCTTATTAATTATTAAAACTTTGCGAAGTTGATCTGAAATAAAAAACCAAGAGCATATAGCACTTGGTTTTTTATTTCAGATCAACTTCGCAGTTTATGAAAAATTCATTTCTTTACCAATGTTTTTGACAATATTTTAATCTTATATTTTTTCTAAGTTCTTATAACATATTTGTTTGTCAGTGTACGTAAAAACTTAGAGTGTTGAATTTCATTATTATTTCGTTTGTTCGTGACTTGTAATGTTAAGGAAGTATTTTGACGTTATATTGATAGCAGGTCTTAAATAACATCTTTTCATGATAATGTAATTCAACTTGATTAAAAATGGCTATCAAATTTTATGCAATAAAAAATAAAGGTAAAACAATTTTAAATTAAAAATAGTTGTTCTTGGGCGGGTCCAAGCGACTTCAAAACCTATATCGGATTAAAAAAAAAAGGACCAAAGTATAGATTTTTACAGAAACATGCAGAATTTAATAAAAATAAAAGTGTACTGTTATTTCATGGTCTAAAAAGTTATTTTTTACTCAACTTTACGGCAAGAAATGTTTTATTTTAAACTCTGAAAGCATGTTTAATACTTTTTTGGTTAAAATATTTAATTATTTGTCGTATATAAACATTTTACAACGTTTTTATTTACAAACTTTAAAATAAAAGAATGACAGCAAGTAGAAGACAGTAGTCTTTTCATCAAGCCCCGTTTGTAAACGTAAAGTGTTTTTTTTTTCTTTCACAAATTCACTTTATATAAACCTTTACTTACCTACTAATTGGCGTGCCCAGCTAGATCGTTTCAAGGGCTATAGGAATTAAAAATTATAAGTTAAATTAAACAAATTATAAGGGCAATTTTTAATTCCTATAGTTTCTCTGCAAAACTACTAAACTAGACTAAATGCAAAACTAGACTAAATGCAAAAAAATTAGACTAAATGAAAAACTGCTAAACTCATCTCATGAGTCTACTATAAATCTTATTATTATTATTATTATTATTATTATATTTTCTTTGCCGTATAATTAAATTTACAATGAGAAAAAACCATTCATGTATAAAAATTGGCCGGAGCAAGAAGAAGACATAAACTGTCTTATCGCCAAGCCCCGTTTACATTAACGTCACAAAGTTACAAGTTAAAAACTAAAAGGTTAAAAATTGAAGTACAATACAATATTAGTTCGACAAATATAAGACACAAGTAATAAATCGAATAAATGTTATTTGTCTGTTCAAAATTAATAGTATATATATTTTTTATTTTAATAAGAAATAAACAAGATACACAAGACAATAGTAAATGAGTAGTGATGACTTTTTCAGGTTTAATTATTTTAGGTGATTTTAGAAGAAATCTTTAAAATCGAAAGTTTTTTCTAATAGAAAACGTTTAGATTCTCTTTTGAATTGATTATCTTTATTCTTTTTTTTTTTTTTTTTCCTAAACTGTGCATCACCTATAAAAAAATATTGAGGGTCTTAGAAGACATAGTTTTTAAGTAATTTTTTATCTAATATCTATTTATTTCTATATAAGTCCTGTAGATCTTATAGGAATTCTATATTTTTTATAGAAGTACAGTATTAATTTTAATGCAATCCTACTACATATAGTATATAATCTATAAGATTTTTTGAAAATGATAATTTTTGAGATTTGCGGTCATAAAATTTAATTTAAACGGTTCGATTGCGTTCAGTGTTTTGTTTTGTAAATCAAAAAAAAAAATTATTTTACATTTTTAGAGATATTATTATTAATTTTTTTTAGTGCATATATATTTTACAACTACTATGTAACAAAAAATCCTTCAAAAATCTCTATATTACTTCAAAAAAAAAATGTTTTACTATACCTTGTATATTTTTGCATCTTTTCAGGGCCGTCCCAAAGAGATTTTAAAGGGAGGGTGTGTGTGTGTTTATATATGTTTTTTGCCGACTAAGGCCAAAAAAAATTTCTAAAATAATATCTAAAAAATTTCAATTCAAATTTGCCGACTCCAGTGTCCAATATGCCGACTTGTAAATTTAGTAGAGGCACTAGACACCTCCTTACGTTCCCCTCGGTACGCCTCTGCATCTTTTGATATGTTTCAATAAGTCGCGACGTAAGAATTATCTAGTTTTATCTCCACTTTTTAAAACTATTGAGTTATTGATTGTGCTGCGTACTTCAGAATATTTTTTTACTGTGGGGCTGTCCATAAATGATATCAGTGATTTTTCTCAATTTTTTGACCTTTTACCCCTTTGTCAAACTTTTAAGTTTTTTTCTACCCCTCCCCTAAAGTAACATTAAAAATATACGTAAACATCATTAAATTTTTTCTAGTTAAATTATACATTCATTTAGTAGTTGTTCTCAGCAAGTCATATTATAGAACAGTTGATACCTCATCAAATAATAAACAAACTAATCAATTTTTTATTCTATATCTATAATATAATGTAAATCCAATCACTCATTATCTTTCCATGGTTTGTTGAAATTATCTTCGATAATAATAACAATTGTATTTTAAATAATGACAAATGACTTTATATGTTTAGTTTGAAGCACATTTTATAACCCGCTAGTGAGCAAATAACAATTGTTAAATTTATATACAAATTGTTGATAATTGTAAACAATTAGATTTTCAGTTAAATGGTACTACAATAATAAAACGTTGGTAAATTTTTAATTTATTTAATGTCTCTGCGAAACTTACATCGAATTCCCCACGAAACAAATATACCACTTCAATACCATAGTATTGTAGATGTAAATACCTTTAAAATCTGCTTGTATAAACTTAAATTTATTTTTAAATTGACATCATTTTGGTCTCAACGCCCCCTCCTCATTTTTAATTCTTTCAGTACCCCATTTTCAATTCTTTCAGTAAATTTAAAATAAATACAATATAAAATAAATGAAAATAAGAACAAAAAAACTCTCACTGTTAATATTCACATAAAAAACTCTCACTGTTAATATTCACATAAAAATACAAAAAAGTAATTTAAAAGAAATCATAAGATTTGTATACTCTATAATATTCATTTTAATTTATTTTTGAAAGCAATTTTTATTTTTACACATGATGTATTGTTATCTTTTGCTAAGATTTAATTCCAAATATGAAGAGCATGATGTAATTTTAAATTGCTCCTGCTTAGTTTTGCATAAAAGTTCAATTAAGCTGTTGTGCGCTTTAAATATTTAAAGTTAAGTTTTATTTCATAGAAATCATGAAAAATTAAAGGACATTGTTGAAATTTACTTCTGTACGAGATATAAAATTTGAAATATGTTTAGTTCATAAAATGTATAATTATTACTTTTGAAAAGTGGTTTTTATTGCTCATGTTTGTTTTTATTTTTAAAGTTCCTTATACTTAAAGCATGTTTTTGTTTTTGATAGAATGTTTCTCTAGTTTGCCTGTACAAATACTAACCCAAGCAATATTTGCGCAATTAAAGTAACTTTGTATAAAACTAAAATATATTTGTTTTAGATGTTTATTTAGTAGATCCATTGATTAATATGGTATTATTTATACATTTTTCAAAACTTTCTTTTAATAAAAATTTGAAGAACCCAAACACTTGGCAGGTTTGTTTGGGATATATTGGCAAAAATAACTTTCTATAAAAGCAATAAGCTGATATCAGTTTTAAAAATGATCTTGCTCATTCAACTTGTGTTCAGACATAATACATAACATTAAAAATTGTCATTTAGTTATAACATTGTCTATATTATATGTTCATATTGTTTATACCTTATTATTAAATTATTATTTATAAATATTATTGTAAAATATGTATGTTTGTAATAATAACTTTGTATTGTTGCAAATTCTGCAAAACTCGCAATAATACAAAGCGAACATGATCGAAAAAATTTAGCACTCTTTTTATTTGTCATAATTTTAATTAACAAAGTAGTTTCGAACAAAAAACTCAAAAGTTAAAAATTAAATTCTCACAACATTAAAATCATATAGAACCTTTCTCACGAAACAAAATTTCTTTATAATAAAAATTTATTAAAAAAAAACAACAATACCGATATTTCTTCCTGATTTCTATTCTGTATTCTAATTGCATTGCATAGATCTTTTGTTCTTATCTTAAAATATTTCACAACTAATTAACTTTTTAAAAGCCAACATAACAAAGCGAAATATTACCAAGAAAATCGAATTAAATGATTCATTTTATAACGACAATTCTGTTAGCAATGAGAATTTAAGCACTTTCGAATTTAGCTGATCAATGTTTAAAAATTCTTAAAAAGCTTGGCTTTCATATGTTGTAAATCACAATATTTCATTATGCTTTTTTTCTATCAAGTTATTGTATATCGCAAAACATATAAGTTTAGTTTTTGTAAAAATGATGTAAAGTGAAAACTTTTTATTTTTCAAAACATGACGATTTTTTTCTTTTTTTTTGGAATGTCCTGAACTTGCTGCTCATGGTCCGATTCAGATTCATCAATTGCGTCGGCACTGACGCTTTTATTACTTACTTTATAAAAGCGGTTTTTACTAGATTCTGAAAGAAAAAAAAGTTAAAACATGTGATAAACTGATTATGATTATTGAAGTATTTAAATATCTTTGTTGGCAAAAGATTGACAGATGTTTTATTTTACCTGCTTTTTTGTTAACCTCCCGATCAGGACAGTCTCTTCGTAAATGTTCGACTGAACCACAAAACTTGCACCCTCCACCTTAAAAAAAGTCCATTAAAAATAATATACAAATGTTTTTCAAAAATTTCATACTTTTGAAAAAAATTGCATATTATTTTTGAAAAAAATAAATAAAAAAACAATGAATATATCATATTTAAACTCTTACCATCTGGATACAGGCCTCGTGGATTATCAGGACAACGACTTGAGAGATGCCCTGTTTCTTTACAAATGAAGCAAACAGCAAAAGGAAACTCGTCTAAATTATATATATATATATATATATATATATATATATATATATATATATATATATATATATATATATATATATATATATACATATATATATATATATATATATATATATATATATATATATATATATATATATATATATATATATATATATATATATATATATATATATATATATATATATATATATACATGAAGCAAGCTGATGAACAGTATTTTTAAAAAGTTAACAAACCTTTTTTAACTTTTGCTGTACATTCAGTTATTTTGTGCTCTGAAGAGCCACACTTAAAACATATTCCAACACTAGTGCTAGCGTTTGATGGACATTCTGATATTCGATGTCCTGGTTGTCGACAATGAAAACAAGCCTAGTAAAATAAAACAATTTTAAGCTAATTATTCTAAGCAGCAATAAAATTACTGTTTAGAATACTTGGGAAGAAAACCAACGAAGTGTTGTTATTAGGGATTGCAATCCCGCGGAATCCGCGCGGATTTTTTAATTTATGTGCGGATACCGCGCGGGATTGGTAGATTTCTTATGCACGTTATGAAAAGCAAAATGACAATTGCATTTTTCTTTCAAGTATTTCAGAAAAAATATTCTTAACTTATTAAATTGATAAGATGAGGTAAATGAAGCCAAAAACAGAATTCATTTGTAAATCAATATAATTCTTAACTAACAATAATAAACAAAACAAAAATAAACAAAAAGATAAGATAAAAATACGTAAAACGTCTTTTACTTATTTTTAAAAATATCAAATATGAGTAAATCATTGTAAGAAATGCGCTCTTAAAAAACAGACCCTACTTAAAGTATCATCACATACTACTCAAAGGACTGCATATATAGTCTACTCCTCAAAGGACTGCATATTTAGCCAGCAGCTGAAAAAGCTCGCTTGGCCTGAAATGAGCTATATCTAGAAACTTGCCTCTTACTCCGTTACTTTCATAGGCAGACATTTCCTGCTTCAATAATTTATCAATGTCTAAAGAATCTAAATTTGGTATTTCCTTTACATTTTCTGTCCAGCTTTTCTTGTCTTTCTGGATATTATTTTCCAATTCTTTTTTCACCGGTAGAATTATAGGATTAAGTATTTGGGAATTGTTAATAGAATCTACAGTTTCTTTTTCTTCGAGTTTATTTTCTTTGTCTTTATTTCTTTTAATTGTATAAACTCTTATTAATATTTTTTTTATTTCTTGACACATAACAGTTCTCTTTGGCAAAAAAGTTTTTCATTTTTTCATTTTTCTTGTTCATATTTTTTAGGATTTTGTAAGTAAACCAATAGTCCATTTAAATTCTTATTACGACATTGTGTAAACATCTCACGAAGTGCCGCAGCTAAATCAATGCTCAAAAGTGATGATTGCTTTTGTAATTTATGTAACATAAATTGAAAAGTTGTTTCTGCAGTAACAAGGTTCGATTCTCTCCTGCATAATAGTTCGAGACCAGGTTTTAGCGGTGCCAGGCAAATAATTAAGTCATTGATTTGGAACCATTCTTCTTGGGTGAAACGAAATTCTGACCCAACATCAATTAAGGCATTTTTAATACACACTTTTAGTCTATGAAACCTTTCTAACATATCAAACATACTGCTCCACCTAGTTTTACAATCAAGAATCAACTTAATCTTTTTGCCATGTTCATGTAGGATATACATCTGCAAATATGTATTATTTTTGACAGGAGAGTTTTTTAAATATTTTCACAACCTTTCATGAGATCTTTGTAATTGATAACCAATTCAGCAGATGGTCAGTCCAAAATTATTGTCAAACCATATTCTTTATTTATAACTTGATCATCATCAGTGTTCTCATGTTCATATTTTTCTTTCCAATTTTCATTTGTAGTAAATATTTCTTTGACTTCTTCGTTGTTTTTCTTGTATAAGATATCAATAACTGCAAGTTGTATTCCATGAGCATAACATAGTTGATTATAGTAAGATATCATTTTACAGACTTTCGACATCACACTTGCTCCATCAGTGGTCATTTTAGAGGTCGATATCCAAGCTATTTAGCCTTCCTGCAACTAACTTGACGCAATATTCTGCATTACACGATTCATGGATTCGAATCAAACAAAAGTTTTTTGCCTCCATATGTACATTTAAGTTAAGGTATCTCTGACTATTTTGTGATGTCCATTCATCAAACGTTATTGAAAACTTTTGACTTTGCTTTTTTAGTGATATAAACTTTTGCATTATATCGACTTTTACAGAATCTTAGAATTTTACTAACATTGATCTTATAGTATTAGGTGAAGTAGGGAGCAGGAAACCACTCTTTGAAACAAATACAGCAAATCTGAAGATATGCAAAAACTATTGAATGTAAAGCCATCTTTAGCAACCATGCGCTATACCATTTTTTCCATAGAAAATTCTTTTACAAAAAACGTGTCTTATCTGACCTTTTTCGATAGAATTACTTCTTTGTCTTCGCAGTCGATGTATATTATAGACTCTAGTTTCATTAACTGATTCATGGTGTTTTGAAGTTGAAACTCTGTCTTGTGGTAAAACGTTTGATTTTAAATCGGCGCCATGTTTAGTTTTTAAATGGATTAATAACCCTTTTGTTGATCTTTGACTAATTTTTAAAATAGCAGAACATAACATGCACTTTGCATTTTCTTCTTTATCACTTTTTTAAAAATAATTCCATATAGTTTTAATTTGCAACATGCTTAGTAGGTACTTTTGTTTTTAAATCTTGATGTATATAATTTTTGAAGTCTTTTTAAAAAGTAGCGCACTATATTTTTTATTATTACGCACTCACGTTTTCAATTTTGCATTTTCAACATACTCATTAACAAAAATTTCAACATACTCATTTGCAAAATTTTCAACATAATCATTAACAAAACAAAAAAAATTTGAACAAGTTTCTCAGTATACATTTCATCGTGCATTTTATGACTATTAAACTTTTAAATCGCAAATACATTAAATACTTTATTTGATATCTTTTTCATCTTTTTTGTTTAAAGAACTGCTTTTTTTTATTTAAAAACAATAATTTCAAAACTCAATAAATCCTGGGGACCCTGCAAATCCCTTAAATCCTGCAGTAGTTTTTGTGGGATGCTGCATGCGCTAAAATAATGTGGGATCCTGCGGGATTGCAATCTTTAGTTGTTATAAACAGCTGCTGTGAAGTGTTTTATACATTTTTTTGACAAAATTAAGAATTGTGATAAAGACTTCATTAGATATACATGAAAAAATAATTTTGATTAAGAAATATAGTTACTAAAATAAAAAGTGTATTATATGGTACTGTTCGCAACAAAGCAAATTTAAGAGGGTTGGTACCCCTTGACTGCACTACTGAATATACTATCCTAACAATGTAATTTATAGAAACAGATGAAACCTATGACACTGATGACAAGAAAAAGATAACTTGCAAAATTATTTTAATCAGTAAAAGTTTGCAAGATTATTTTAATCAGTAAAACAACTAAAACATAAAAATAGAATGCATTATGTCAATAAAATCCAAAGAACTTTAGAAAAAATTATTGTTTATGCGACACAATGGTCGCAAAAAGTGACCAACGGAGCCGTCCAGTTTCGTAGACCTGAGAGATGTGATAATAAAAACAGTTAGAAGATGGTGTCATTGAATATAAAATAAAAATAATATGAAAATATAAAATGAGTGATAAGACTTTTGTGAAGGTAAAGAACGAAGTAAATGCTCGGAGGGCATGAAGAGAACAAACTAACACTCTAATCACTCTGTATGTAGATCATATGTAACAAAGAACAAATATTTGATATACTGATTTTGAAGACCGTTGATATCTACAGGTGTGATGGTGTAGTGCATTAGTACGTACCGTTTGTCGTCTAGTATGGTCTCGTTATGTTTCCGTTCACTTTCAAATCGGGTGAATAAAAGCTAAACACACTCACTTCTTGCGCTTATGGGCTAGCACATCAGAGCCAGACGTGAGACCTACAGAATGGATTTCAATTGATCGAATGCACACATTAGTCACCGTAGGCCACAAGCCATCACTCTTAACTAAAAGAGCTACTGCCCCGTGCTGGTGTGGAATGATGTGCTATGAAGTGAGATTTCAGATCCGAGCACATAGTCAGCGAGCGCTGATCCGACGTGCATTGTGGAGCTTCCGATTGAACGTGTGCGTGAGTGTCAGCGTAGTCATTAGGTTATTGAGCGCCGTAACCACATCCAGCGGGATAGCCTAATGTCCGTTTTGTCGTTGTGACGTACATTGGAAAAAGTCGGGGCTCACCAGCCACAAAGAATAAATTTTTGCTTATGCGACACAATGATTGCAAAAAGTGACCAACGGAGCCGTCCAGTTACGTAGACCTGGGAGATGAGAAAATAAAAACAGATTGAAGATGATGTCATTTAGGTAAAAAAACATAAATTAATGCAAAGACTATTTAGTTGGAAGAGTAAAAGTAAGCAACTCAGGAAAAGGGGAATAAAAACTCACACTCTAGTCATCTTTTAACAAATGATGAAGTAATTATCTATGAGTAAACAAGTCAATAAAAATCCGCTGGTTTATAATGGCATTCATAACTAAAATAATCGCACCATACAAGTGTCTAATAAATGTGGTACTATATATGTTCTAAACTCTAGATAAAAAATTGATAACTGATAATCACCTGTGTAACATAAAAAATATATAAATGTCGTTAATGTAACAAATTCATAATAAAAAGCTCACAAAGCGCAAAACTACATGGGTATAAGAGGTAAAAAAATGTTGGTGCCATAATAACCAATTAGAATTAAGTAGTGGATAAATGGTGATCCCCCTCCTCAGGAATGCACTGCGATCACCAATGACGTTTCGGAGAGCCCGAGACCTGCACTAACGCCACTCGTCAGGGGCGTGTCCTTGCAACAGATCTCACTGCCTGCACTCTACATCATGCTAGTCAATATTGCAATATAATAGGACTACAATACAAAGGCCAAAAAACCAATCCCTATCCCAGTTTTTGAAAACAGCTCCAACATTCTTAGAGATCTCGTGAGGGTGGTGAGGAACGCGCGTGGTGTGACCATAAACAGATATGTAAACACAGATAAATATAAGGTACCCTTATATTAGAAGAAACAAACTTGTACACATATACGTATGCGCGTGTGTAAATAAACAATTATAATGTGTAGAAATAACAAAAGGCGAATAGAAAATAGTAATTAATAATTAATAGTAACTTATTATTTCTTTTATGGCTGAAATATGTATTATAAATATAATAAGTAAATACCACTCATAAGCATTGATACTAAGTGAAGATGTTTTGTGGTTAGTACGAAAGTAGTTAAACGAAAGTATGATAAAAAATATATAACTCTAAATAGTATGTTCTCATATAAATCTTGCTTGGTAAGTAGAGACAATAGCTATCACACAAAACAGACTCAGAGTAATTAAATAACGATTAGCCAGAGATAAAAAAATATACAAACATCAAATCAGTAGGCAGAAAATAACCATTATACATTTTTTTGACAAAATTAAGAATTGTGATAAAGACTTCATTAGATATACATGAAAAAATAATTTTGATTAAGAAATATAGCTACTAAAATAAAAAGTGTATTATATGGTACTGTTCGCAACAAAGCAAATTTAAGAGGGTCGGTACCCTATGACTGCACTACTGAATATACTATCCTAACAATGTAATTTATAGAAACAGATGAAACCTATGACACTGGTGACAAGAAAAAGATAACTTGCAAAATTATTTTAATCAGTAAAAGTTTGCAAGATTATTTTAATCAGTAAAACAACTAAAACATAAAAAAAGAATGAATTATGTCAATAAAATAGAAAAAATTAAATCATGATAAAAACTAAACATTATTAATTATTTTTCCAAATACTTTTAGTTTGGAAATTTAAAAAAACTTTTTTAGTATTGGAAATTTTAAAAAATAAAAACAAAGTTATTAGAAAAATTAGTTCGAAACACAATTGTTTTTAGGCATTTTTGTGTTTTCTTTACCTTTCCCTTTTTTCTTCTATTACGCCTTGCTTCTCTTCTCTTTTCTAACCATTCAGGGACTTCATTCTTCATTTCATTCTAAACATAAAAATGTTATCATTACATTATTCAATAGAGCAATAATCTATCTACAATGAGCGATTAGTTCTACACTATAAACTTCCATTGTTACAACATAAGCGATATTTCAAGTTTATAAAATTCCTAAAAGTTTAGAGTTCAAAAAAAAAAAAAAAAAACAAGAGGGAAATGGAAAAATTTTTTATTTCAAGTTCCTCAGTTGAAAGGATAGAATCGTAACTAACTATTTATCTCAAATAAATAATAAATAACAATATAAATGATGAACATTGGTTTAAACAATCATAGGTTTGGACCTAAAGGAATCTTAAAATGTACTGTTCCAAAATTTTATAGGAAAATAAAGTTATATTTTATAGTCCTATAGGACATATACATCATATGTATGAAGAAAATATAGCTTCATTAATATGACCTTTACATTTTATATAAGATATTCCTATGAAACATGAATAAAGAATTATTTTGTAGGTTTACTCCTTTTGTAGGTTAACTCCGAGAAATCTGATCAACTACTGTTCTAAAATCATATTTAACTGTATTTTTTTTAATAGAATACTCTAATAAAACGAGTAAAACATTAATTTATTAGGTCTTTGGTTAAATGTCCTAAAGGTTAAGCCCTTTATAATCCCAAAAGACAATATATAGTAATATTACATTTTTTCTATAAAATAGTGTATATATGTATGTATGTATGTATGTATGTATGTATGTATGTATGTATGTATGTATGTATGTATGTATGTATGTATGCATTTATGTATGAGTGTATGTATGTATGTATGTATGTATGTATGTATGTATGTATGTATGTATGTATGTATGTATGTATGTATGTATGTATGTATGTGATATATATATATATATATATATATATATATATATATATATATATATATATATATATATATATATATATATATATATATATACATTAAGAGAAAGAAGGGTAAGTACTTGTACCAAGAAACATTTTATGGTGACAAAACCAATTAAGATGTGTTTCATGAAGTTAGTGATCTAGGCTGATGTGATCAAGCAACACATCAACAAAGATGATAATTTTATAATTCTAATTAAAAATGAGATCAAATTACACTTTGACGTTAATAAATATATTAATTGTTAACTAATATGTTAATTAACTACAATGAAGTATTTTTCTTATATATTTAACCTAATTCTAATTTTATAACATGATATCAAATCATGGTGATGTAGCAGTTAAGAGGATTTGTATTCTTGTAAAAGCTCATCTATTTGGTGCTCCATGGATTCATTCTAGTGCAAGATTAAATCAGTTCAAGGCTACCAAGGAGAATTTGACAGAGTTTGATAGCTGATAATTTAAGGATGGTTTACTTTGACACTACTGATGGCAATACTGAAACGATTTGTGGTGATACATACAGGTAAACTATTTATTTAAATAATTTAAATGAAGGACTCTAAGAGCTAATTACAATAAATAACTTAGTTATGGTCTCAATTTTTCAGATTGTGAAACAATGTTGGTAAACTGTTGTTGATGCTTGCTTGTAGGCATGTTTTTTTCAGTAATCTTTAAACATTGTTAGTTATTAGTTATTATTATTATAAGTTATAATTATTAGCAGTTATTATATGCAAAACAATAGAACCTGAGGCCTTTTTAAAGGCCTAAAAAATAAGTGGAATGATGTTGATTCGAAAAACAGTGTCATCACTCACTTCGATCGGCAATCAATTTGTGATTCTTGATTTAAAGAACAAGGGAACGAGGTAAGAAATTTAGTTGTTTAATGACAATTGTGAATAAAGGAGTCTTCTAAAATTCTTAGCTTAATTTTTGCTGCCATTAAAATGTTCAAAATTTAATGTAATAAATGTGTTATTTATCAATAAAATTAAATACCACCATATAATTTTTTTAGAACCATGAGAAGAGAGAAGACTACAAGGAACTTGCTAAGGTAGCTTTCATATTCTTGGAACCAACATTCAAGCCTCTCAACATTCACAAGCATGAAGCAGTACACCATGCACATTTTATGGCAAAAAGTATCTACTATCTAAAGATCATGCTTTTTAATTCCATCGTGTAAAAAAATTGAAATGTCAACTTTACAGGACCTCAAATCTTTTGAGCCACCTTCATTAGTTGATTACACAGAAACAAAGTTGTGGTTAGTTTTTAATTATTCTTGAACACATCAAAAGGCATGCTAAGTGGCTTTTTTATCTTTCATCTACATGAAAATTAGATAGTCAGGTTTCATTGCTTTTCAAGCATTTGTTAAGGGCTTGCCAATTATTAACAATGCAGCAGAAATGTAATTATTGAATCTTTTCAATATTTTATTTGTATAATCCTATAGTAATAAAAATTTTAAACTTTATTTAAACAACTCATTTTGTTTGAATTTTTTGCAAGATTTTGGTTACCAACATCAAAAGCATATAACATAACAATAAATTATGACCATTAATTAGATTAGAAAAATTCGGTTGTTGCATGAGTTCTAAAATTTTGCTTTCTCTTTTGTTTGCTATTTAATTAATACCATAAATAATACTTGGCATAAATTTAAATTTTTCATGTAGATCACATCTACATAGATGACATTTTAAAACATAATTTTGTTTTTCCTACATCTCTTAGTGTAGCTATACTTAATTAGAAAGGATGCAGGTTGGCTGTTATTTGGTAAATTACATTAGACTTGATTTTAGACATTAGTAATTTTTATAAATTTGGATTGGATTTTAAAACAGTTTTGTAGAGTTTTGGAGATTATGAGGTAGGGTGCATCAAATCCGCAACAATTTTTTTTAACTATTTACTTCAGTTTCGGCCCTATGATTCCTTTGTTCCTCTTCATAAATTATGACTCTTGTAAAAATTTGAAATTTTTCTGTGGCAATTTAATTGGTCCACAACGAACACAAATACCTGTATTATTTGCAATAAACTGTAATTAATACTATTATTGGCGCCGATTACATTTAAAAAATTAATATACACAAAATTACTTATAGTTCCAGGAATTATTGCAAAGACTGTCAAATGGACAAAAGAATACTCAAATATTCCAAACAAGTATGATAAAATTTACAATATCGAACAGAGCACAGTACAATAGGTAGCTTTTAGCTACTGGGACTATGAGTATATATTTAATTGTCATCTTCGTGATCTTCGATTGTTGGTGCTGCTCGTTTCTTCTTACAGCTGCACAGACTTGGAACTTTATTTCTGTCAGGCTCAACAACTTGCAGAATGTTCTGATGATTCAGCACAGTTTTGGCTGCATCTAGAAAGTCTACACTTAGCTTCACATCGCGTTCTGCACTATCATTGATAACATTGACAGAAATCGTCTTCATCTTTGATGACAGAAAGGAAGGATGAGCTAGCCAGTTTTCAACGTTATTGTTGAGAAAATTCACGTTTATCTCTAAAAGGTTAAAAATGTACCATAAATCTGCAGTAAGCAAATCTCCAAGTCTTGTTGTGGCAGTGATTTCAGTCAGGAGCTTGGGTTTTCTGAAGCCAGTTTCATAGCAATCATGCGGCAGAGCCATTCCATCACTGGCCTTGCTGCCAGAAGCTTCTGGGCTAAGTACTGAAATTTAGGCTATGAAACAATGTCACTGAATAGAGCAAGGGGCACCATTTCAGAACATAGGTACCACAGATGATGCTTCAGTGCTTTTATAGCGCTTTTTATATTTCAGAACTCACTTGTGTGTATTTCAGAAGGTTCTGATAAAGGCAGAGATCATGCCATGGGGCGTCAACTGCAGATCTACACGTTGTCCACCAGGCACTGTATGTCAGACACACAAAGGTGACGAAGCTGAGTGACTTTGTCTACTGTGCATCAGTGGCAATTGTTCTTGCTGGCAACAAATAGATCTGCTCTTCAAGAAGGACCATTTTAATGGAGCATAATATGTTGGACATCCATCGTGCTCTGTGGACTGCACCCAGTCGACGAAAGTGAAACTGTCTGTTTTCTGGATCAAGGTACAGTAAACATAATTCACTGAATTCTTTATAGCCTTCTCGCTGATGCTCTATGAAAGATTTAGCAGCTGCTTTTGCACTTTCCTTCCACATAATAATCTGAGAAAAAGTTTGTAAACCATTTGAGAAAGGTCGAGGGTCAAATGGACTAAGTGTCTTGTCACTTCCATAAGGAACTGTGTCAAAATTCTTCTTAAATGTGCTAAATACAGTAACTTCTGGTGATTTTGATGCTTCAATGTGTAAGTCGTTACAAATCATTCAGACCAGAACAATATACGACCAATTCTTTGCTGCAAGGCCACACACATTGCACTGATATATCCAGTATTGCTGGCCGTAGTATCAAAAGTCATATTTTCTATTGACTCAGCACAGACTGCAACAATTGCATTGTAGGATTAGTGATGATATCTTCAGATTGTTGATTTGTTCCTGGTTGATTAGCAGGTACATCAAGAGTTTTGACATTGGTGTTGTCGCCAACAGCGACCACAAGTCTTTCCTGTAAGTCATGTGTTATCTGGCTCTTCATCAGTTTAGAATCCTAGTGCAGGGAAGCATAATTTGCTGGAACCCATGACTTCCGAACTTCTGAAGCAATTTCTTCATTCATCGTACGCCTGGATCTGTCTACTGTGGCATATGATACAGTAATTTTACTAGCATCACCTCCTGATTCTTCAATAATGGCCTTAGTGAGTGCAGACTGTTGTGCAGGAGAAATTTTCATTCTTGTTGCCAAAGCAAAAATCCTTGGAGATTTGAGAATGTTATAAGGTATACGAGCTGCCGTCCCAGTGCGAGTGGTTCGATAGTGCGTTTTTACAAATTTCTTTTCAGAAGTCTTGAAAAGACTATTAATATCACATTTACTTTCATCACTACCTTCCTCGCTGCTGTTGCTAGAGAGCTCTACTGTTTAAATAGCAAACACTGTAACAGCAGTTGCTGCTGCTTCTGCCCTTACTCTCCTTTCTTTTTCCTTTTGCAGTCGTATTTTCTTCACGCTGTAACTGTAATACCAATTTCTTGTCAAGGGAGCCAAATAGTGCTGTGCGGTCTATCTTCATGGACTCTTAAAACTTTTTCGTCTTTTTTCATAACTTTTTCAGCATCATTTACCCACAGTGGAAATGTCAAACTGATTTTTTCTGACATTAGTTTAAGCTTGGCAAGTGCTGACAATCATGAACGACAATCTAGAGAAAGTTCACAAAATTTTGCATTCTTTTTAGAGAGTGCAATGATTTTTTCACAGGCCTTTTTTTCTATTATTGGAGTATTTGCTTTCTTAAAGAAAGGAATGACCTGCTTCAACACAATTTTTGCACTGTCACATTTGGATCACTTTATAGACAAGCCAGCATGTTGATGAAACATATAGCATCACAATAATATTTTATTTATACAAATCAATGTTCTTTGTAATTCTAAATTCTATGAACTCAATAAATGGAGTTTGTAAATTTCTTTACAATTTAATTAGCTAAACCTAATTTCAAACAACAACTCAACAAAGAATTCTGAAAGGGAGATACACCCTATTCTGTAATAGAAAGTCAGTAATTAAAAATTACTGACTTTCTACTACAACGACTAGAAATAGCTAGCAAATCCGGCTCTAGCCGGATTTGCCGGCTACAACAATGTTGTAGTAATACTACAACGATGTTGTAGTAATACTACAACAATGTTGTAGTAATACTACAACAATGTTGTAGTATTACTACAACAATGTTGTAGTAATACTACAACAATGTTGTAGTATTACTACAACAATGTTGTAGTAATACTACAACAATGTTGTAGTAAGTGACTGGGGTTGATATTTGACCAGGGCTGAGGCCAAGTTTGATAAAATGTAGGCGGAGCCAGGTTTGTGACCGGGGCTGCATAAACAATTATGGATCCTAAAGTAAATTTTTTTAATTCAAAATTCATGTTATATTTTGTATATATATGCATATATAAACATCATTATGATCAACAAGATCATCATAATCATCATCATCATTATCATCATCATCATCATCATCATCATCATCATCATCATCATCATCATCATCATCATCATCATCATCATCATCAGGCTTCAGCCTTCTTTTTTTATAATGTTTCTTTAATATTTTATCCCTAACTAAAGCTCATTCATACAATATGAAAGGCACTCTCTTTAAGTTTTATTACTTCTACCACTACCATTTTTTTACTGAAGCTGCTACCTCTCTACATACTGATATTACTTTAATATTTTCTAACAAACATTGTTCAATACAATGTTTTTTCTAATCTGTCTAAAAATATGTCTTCTTTTCTTGTCTTGCTAGAGTCACACCACACATTCATCTAATTATCTTCTCTTTCGGCAAATACTACACCATATAAATACTAAAGTTTATATAACAATAAAAGGATATTGTATGCTAGCATCTAAATAAATAGAAAACATATATGTTTATAACCACAATATGTATGCATAAAGCGTATCTCTGAAGCCTTTATTCCTTATGGAATAGAAGTTTGAAAGCTTTTATTACTTCTCTTTAATTTTAAGTCAAGCCCCATTCTACTCTACTTGAGCAGTTGCTTTATTGAACATTAATCATTTTTTTTAAGAACATCTCTCTTAAGAACAAATGTCTATTTATTATTGCATAAATCCAATGTAAAATAGTTTTATTATTGCATAAACCCAATGTAAAAAGTTCTGTCTGATGTTAGGGCTCTGTTATTCTCAGTTTACTAAATCTTGTATCTTATCTTATAGGGTTCTAGAGACTTTTGCTTAGTTTTCAACAATGTCATTAACTAAAGTAACATTTAATCTCTAATTCATAGGTTTGATCTTTTTACTTCTCCCCAGAATAAAGCAGAGTTATTTGAAAAGACATCTTACACTAATTTGACTCTTGTACATAATGGCCATACTCTTCCTGGCAGTTAAACAGATTAACCTATTGTTCATCCAAATCACTCTGGTTTCCAATGCTAAAGTTAATTCTTAATTAAACACTTCTACAATTTGTACTCCAGACAAGATTTCCATCATAGTCTTAAAAAATGTTCTCCAGAACTCTCTGCTAAACTTTTAAAAAGTGGTAAATAAGTGGTTCCAATTTTTCAAAACTCTAGAAAACACTTTGACCTCTTCAAACTATCCTACAATTAGTATTCACTCTGTTATTAGTTTTTTTATATAAAGGTTTTAAGGTTTTTAAATAATTTCTTGCTAACTGCAGTAGTAAAGTTATCCTTAAAGGCCTACCCTCTTCTTTATTTCAAGTAACTTCAAGGGTATCGCAAGTTTCTATCTTTGCTCCTGTATTGTTTCTTATCTACAATAATGATCTTCATGAAATCTAAAGTGTCTCTATTTGCTGACGTCTAAACCTTATACTCTTGTCTTGACAAATAATCTTCACTTTTTGGTTGCTTAGAACAAGCAGTCGATTTCAAACCTGATCTCTTTTCTGTAGCAGCCTAAGGCTTTCAGTGGTTTATGGATTTAAATTCAGGACTTAAAACCCACAATATTTGTTAGACAACAAAACTCATTTACTGCAAAAAAATATTGCAATATTGTTGGCATTCCTATATTAACAAATAACAACCCTCTTACTCTCAGACAAAGTCTAAAAGCACATTGTAAATGTAATTAGACCTGCTTTATCTGCCAAGCTTGAGCCGCTTTCCTATTGTTGCAAGGTTGCATTTCTTTCTTTTTTTTACAAATACAATTATGGTCAGTCATCTCTATAAAGATAAACCAAAACTCATTCTTGCTTGGCTTTTTATTTAACAAGTTGCATCCTTTTTACTGTATCTTGTCTTTTCATGCTAAAAAAACTTTTATTAATCCAGTTTTTTTCCTTGAACATCATAAAAGCCTTAAAATTCTTACCCATCTTCATGTTTTCTTTTTTTATTTAACTTGCAAATTTTTAAGTCTTCAGTTATACATTTTCTAATATTTTAAAGACTCATAGCTTAATAGTGGTTGCTTGCAATCTTGTTGGAAATAAATTAGATATTAAAAATATATAAATTTATGCCAGTATTTAACAAATAGTAAATGTAAGCATAAAATTATAATATATTAAACATAAATATTTTTCTAGCCCCAGCTATCAACCCCTGCTAAATCTTATAACTTTGTCGGAGCTGGGGCTGGGGCCTCGGTCACTTACTACAATGTTGCAATAATTATCAGCAGTTTTGTTAAAATTCATTAGAATATTGAATTTTATGACAATTTAGAAAAATATAAAAACACAGGTCTTATATATACAAGAGTCAAATTAGTGTAAGATGTCTTTTCAAATAACTCTGCTTTATTTTGGGGAGAAGTAAAAAGATCAAACCTATGAATTAGAGATTAAATGTTACTTTAGTTAATGACATTGTTGAAAAATTAGTAAAAAATCCTCTAATCTAAATTTAAAAAAAAAGTGAAAAACCCCCTATTAAAACGCTAATATTTGCTTTTTTTTTAAACACTTTGTCATGTAATGTATTTATTTATCTTTATTTTAAAAATAGTATTGGAAATTTTAAGTTTAATTTTTTTGTGTATGTGGACCAGTTTTAATTGTTTTGAGGGTCAAATCCTTTATTAGAAATTTTAAATGTCACCACTGATACTGCCTTAATTAAAAGGAAATTAGAAATAAAAGAACCGCTTAATGTTAAATGGGAAAATCCCTCTTTAAATACAGGAAGATGAAAATATTTAAAAACAAAGTAACTTATTGAAAAAAGTTTTTTTATATAAGTGGTCATCACTCTTTGAAGTTTAGCACATCAATCTTTTGAAGGTTTTAAACTCTAAGCTTGTCAGTTGCTCTGTCAGCAACTGTTACAGGAGTGCAAGATAAAAAATAAATAAAAAATTGTGTTAACTCATTGGTTTCCAATAGAGTTTTTTTAAAAGGAGATAAGTTGAAATTTGTTTTTTAAAAGGAGACAAGTTGAAATTTGTTTTTTAAAAGGAGACAAGTTGAAATTTTTTTTTTTTTTTTTGTTTAAGCACTAAGAAGTGTATCAATTCCGTGAAAATTTTTAGAGATTGTTGCAAGAATGTTTTTGAAAAAAGTTTTAAAAACTGCTATTAACTATTACAAACAGTAAAAAATTTAAACATAATAAGGAAGAAAAAAATGGTAACCTGTTCCATAGACCTTGTATTTTTTTCTTTGCTACCATCTAAAACAATATTAATTACATTAAATAACTAATTAATAAAAAGAAAAATTTAGTTATTTAGAAATAACACTTAATTTATATGAAACATGTGTGAAAACTTTTTTAAATTTTTATATCCCTAATTTATTTCTATTCTAATGTATTTATATGAAACATGTGTGAAAACTTCTTAAAAACTTTCTATCCCTAATTTATTCCCATTCTAATGTATTTATATGAAACATGTGTGAAAACTTCTTTAAAACTTTCTATCCCTAATTTATTCCTATTCTAATGTACAATAGAGTACAATCTAAAAGTAATTTTTTCAGAATTTAAAAAAGTAATAAATATATAAAATAGTAATAATAATATTGTTAATAATAATAACACCAATAGTAATAATAATACCAGTAAAATAAATAATAATAAAAATTTTATACTACTAATAATAATTATAATGATATTATATGAGCCTTACAAAGCACCCTAGAGATAAACTTAGATTTCCTGTCACAATTTTATAAAATAAAACAATTATTAATTTTAAACACAGAGAAATAATTATATTGAGTCAAAAATATTTTAAGTGTAGTATTTTTAAATTAAATTATTTTTTATGTTAAAGCATTGAAATAAATTGAATCAAAAGCAGCATGAATAACATATGCTGAAATATCAAACTTAGTCAACCTAGATTTGTATTTAAAACTCTGTAGTTCCACATTTGGCAACATCTGTCTTATGACTGGAATTGGTTAGCATGGACTTACTTTAGTTTTTAAAACTTTACTGTTTCTTAATAACATTTTTTTACTAATTTCAGTTAACTGATGGATGATTTGACCAAGATATATTTGAAAAAGCGATATCACAGAGATTTGTTATGAATTACAGAAGCAAGGTCTTCTGTAACTTTTTTAACTTCACCCATTTTAACAAAAAACGAGAAGCTATCATGCTACAAACAGTTGAACAAACATAACCTCACTTTCTTGTTGTGATTGCGCAACAGTGTGGTGAATAAAGTTGATTTACTATGTGTGATCATTTCAATAGAGATTTAAGGTGAATAACTGCTGTTTTAAATGGGTGATAGTGGAGTCTGACAAGACTCCACTATCACCCATTAGGGTTTCTCTTTTTATTTTAAAACATACAAATTCTAAAATAAAAAGAGAAACCCTAATGGTTAAAAAAAAAAAACAAGATTAAGAAATCTAGGCCTACTGGTGTGGCATATGACAAAAAATTAAAATTAACAAAGAATTATGGACAAAAAGTTGATGCTAAGTATATCATAGATCCATGCAGGTAAGAGATAGTGCACAAATAATTCCTAATTTATTAATAGGCCTATGCCAAATTGTAATGATTTGTCTATAATTAGTCAGACTTAGGCCCTGTAATTTGTAGATTGTTAATGTTTGTAGGCTTAAGACAAGAGAATGAAACTTTTAGGGTAGTCTACAATCACTTTTACAATACAATTATATATACAATACAATTATATATATACATACAATTGTATATTAACTTACACCCCATTCTGTTTAATAAACTAGGCCTAGCCTATAACTTTTTTTATAAAGTAAAAAAACATCTCATTGCCCAAAATACCTGCGCAAGAGCAGGTATTTTTTACTTAAGGCAGTAAACAAACTGTTTTACTTAAGGCAGTAAACAATTAGTATATTTATTCTCATTTTAACAATTAGTGTACTATTCAAAATTTCTCTTTACATCTATTCATGATGTGAAGAGAAATGTAGCGGCACTCTACCTTAACCACAAGGGGAAGACTAGAAAGTCTCTAAACGAAAGTTGCTGATTTCTTTTGCACTAACAGTCTACCATTCCTCAAGAGAACGATGAACTCAACTTTTATGTCAATAATTGTGGGGGAAAAGATAAAAATCATTACTTTTCTAAACTTTTTATGGCACTTACTGACAACAAATGGATTAAAAAAGGTCAATCAATTTTTTCAGAATCTGAGGGCACAGCTTTTTGCCCTTTGACCACGACTTCTCGATTATAAAAAGAGAGTTGAGAAGACATGTCAGAGTGTACAGCGTTCAATAAATAAAAGAAATTATATTAAAAAGAAGTAATCAAAGAAAGTTTTTAATGATTGATGTAGATAGTTTATTTCTGGTTAAAAGTTGGTGGCCAGTCCACTTTAAAAGAAACATTATCTCAGTCGAAACAATCAGTAAACCTAAAAACTAACAAACTCAGTTTAAAATAAGCAAATTTTACCATTTTCAATACAATTGTGGCATTATAAGTCAATGTAAAGCCAGTGAAATTATCGATAGTATTGTCAAACATGTTTTTAAGATAAGAAAAAATATCCAAGAAAGTTTGAACCTGCAATAATAGCTTATTTATACTGACTAAAAAGTGTTTAAAGTGTATCCCACATGATCATATTGACTTTTATAATGAACTACTGCAATGGCCTATCGCCAAAAGCAATGATGGCAAAGCAGAAGATTTTGGGGAAAATGATTAAGCATAGATTATAAAACTTCTGTAATAGACCTTTTTTTCCTTATATTTTTTGTTAAAATTTGTAAAAAATTCATAAACATAGGCTTGTGAAAATTTATTGCAGTTTATGACATCATTTTCTATACCCCAATATTAAAATCATAATAAAATAAGCAGTAATAATTTCGAAAAAAAAAAAAAAAATTAAACCATTAATAAAAATTTACTAAGAGGGAAGTAAATTTCAGGTTATTTTTAGTTTCCTGAAAGTTTACATTGTTGGACTTCCGCCCTTTTAACATTTACTGATTCATATGAGAGTTGGTAAGAGTTTATTAGAGAGAATGAAATTATTATAATGAATTTTAATTTTTGTAGATAACTTCAACAATATTTCACAAAATATAAGAAAAATATAGTAAAAACAATTCATTACAAGGAACAATATCATGATATTAGAAGAATTTGCCAGGCATTGCCAGATGATCAAAATTTATATTACATCATCACATTATATATTACATCATCTAAGTTACAGGAATTAGGTTCTTATTTCTTAAGAGCATAGATGATATGACAAATTATAATAGACCTCTTCTTACATGGTCTAAAAAACACATCAACTTCATTAACAAGTTCCTTTATTGCTATTGAACTAAGTTTAAATAACAATAAACAACTTCAAAACTTAATTGAATGTAGTACAAATTCTGTAATAACTTGTTTAAAAAATCAGTTGACATAAAAGAAATCAGTTGACATAAAAGAAATCAGTTGACATATAAGATTAGAAATAGATGTAATAAAAAAAAGATCTGCATCTCGTGGTACTAAATGCAGGTCATTTTCTCATAATTGAACTTATTTAAATAAATTATCAAATTACTTCTAAAGATTGTTTACAATAAACACATCTGTTTATGTTTTTAAAGAGTAGTATATTATTTTTTATTTATATATTTCTAAATTTTTATGATAAATTTAAATCTTCTAGAACAATTTGTACAACTAATTTTAGAAAACTTTACATAATGGTAATGTCTATTATTAAGAATCATTAAAGTTCATATAATCAAAAATTTGCACCCTTATTCTGTGTCCAACTTAACTAAAACATTAAATTGTTGGGCAATGAAAAGATTTCATTGTTCTTTTTATTTGTTTAGACTATTTTGAAGCGCTGTTTAAAATAACTATCAACTATTCATCAAATGTATTATTATTTACCTAGCTTAGGTCCCATTCATAAAGTATCTACACTTATACGGGGTCAGCTAATAGCATACAAAAGCATATGGGGAAGGAGGGATTCAATATAAAAGTATTTATGCACGAATATAAAAAATATTCTGAGGTAATAATTATTTTTCTTCTAATTTATCACAATTAACAAGCACTTGTTAATAACTAAATGATTTTAAATAATTAAAAAATATATAGATATATATACTGCCTAATTGTTATCTATAATTTGTAACATCAATAGAAAAGTTAATTTTCTGACTAAAAATAGTTTGCCAACATAAAAAGGTATATGCATAGGAGAAGGGGTTTAATGTCCCCATATACACACATATTACCGCTTATACACTAGCCCTGAGTTAAAAAGTTGTGCATTTAGGGCATCCCCTTTTTTAAGTATGCAAAAAACAGGTTTTACTAAAACCTATTTTTTTTTTAATGTTTAATTGAATAGAATAAATTAACTTTACTCAGGATGAACCATCAAAATTGCTCACTTTGTGTATGACTCGTTTTTTACGGACTTACTAAAGCGAGGTGCCTCAAATACACCTCCACTATGAGTAAAGCTATTTTATTTAATTTGTCATTAAAAAATACTACAGCTGTGTTAAACTAATAAGACAACTTTTTATTTATTTTTTTACTTTAAATAAACAAACCAGGGGTGTGGAGTTGTAAAAAAAAAGTAACGACTCCAACTCCGACTCCAGTTGTTAAAATTTTTTGAGTACAACTCCGACTTGAACTCCAACTCCAAAGCAAAATTTTTGAAAAATTCTTTGAATTTTTTAAAAATATTATGCGATAAGTTAAAAAAAAGTTTTTTGACAAATTTATGAAACGTTCTTTGAGGTTTAGTATAAATATAAGGTTAATTGAATGTTTTATACATGCACGTGCAATACCGAGAAGTTTTACTATTGGAGTTGGAGTTGCGATTTTGTTTAGCGACTCCAACTCTGCTAAAAATGTTGCAACTCGGCATATTCAAAATCATTTAGTTATTAACAAGTGCTTGTTAATTGTGTTGCAACTCGGCAACTCCGACTCCCCAGCCCTGAAACAAACTGTGACTTTACGTTGATTCAATTTCTAAACCTTTAGAATCTGAACATTGGCCACTTGACCACACTATCTTCTTTTAAAGAGGGTAAATTTACGTAAATAAGTATTTGTGCATATGTTTTCAAAATTGAGATCTGGTGCTGAAACCAAGGACTTTGTGGTTGCCTAAAAAATACTTAGGAGGAATAAGAGAAAGGGGATCTGCAAAAAGCATTCAATAAAGTAATATGGTTGTGGTATGATCATGATGAATTTTAAATTCATATCTTGCAATTGCAGATTTGAAGAAGTGCAGAAGGTGCACTTTAAAATAATTTTTTTTTTTAATTTAAAGGGTGCATCTGCAATCACATGCCAATATTCCTTCTGGTATACCTTACATCTGGTTAGTTATATTATATATATGGTTAGTTATGTACCATCTGGCAGGGCATAAAAATCTTTATTAGGATTGTACTGGATATTATATCCAGTACAACCCTTAAGCATAAACTTTTGGTAAATATACTAAAAATAATTAAATTTTTACTTTTAAGTTCATCCCAAGAAGATGCTTCTTGCTCTTTATTAGTTTTCCCACGAGCCCATCTCGTCATCTCAAATGTATGATATACTTCTCTAAATTTAATACATAAAAAATCTACAATATAATTTAAATTACTATATTTGATATTTTAATAATATGCTTATAACTTTGCTTATAATTTATAAAAAATCTAATAAAAAATTGAAAAAAAAAATTTTGTTATTTAAGTGGTGGTATACAAAAAAGAGATTTTCAAAACCTAAAATTTCTTATACTATATTTACATCTTTATATTTTTTTATTGTATTCACCATCCAAAAGTAAAGAAGCAACAAAAATGGAAGAAGATTGTTAGAAACCTTTAGTTTTAATTAAAGTTAAACAATATACAGTGTTAATCATTAGTTACAGAATGAATATTTTTAATAGTTTTAATAGTCTGAATACAAGATTGCAGGAACAAGTTGCTACATCTAAGATTATTAAAGGCTTATTCACTGATTATTCAAAATTAATATAATTATTTAAAACACTTTAATTTAAACATTGTTTTACCCAACTAACAAATAATACTCACTTACCTGTTTACTAAAAAACATTGACAAAACTAGAAGTTCAATTGTTGATTTCAACTGGATGAAAAATATATCAGCATGTGGTAAAATCTTATCAGTTCACAGCATGTGGTTGAATAAATGATGTTCTTTTTAAATAACTTCTAATGTAATCACTTGAGTATTTTTAAAGTTATGATAAAAACAAAGTATAGAAAAGTATAAACAATTTTAAATAAAAAGCCATTTAAATATTTGAAGAAACTAATTAAATTTCATTTTTTTAAAATCACAAAAATGAAACTAGATACTGCTTTTTGTTATTAAGATTATTAATAGTTTTCTGTTTTGTTTTTATAATGTGACTTTGTGGTATTTCTTTTATTTTTTCAGTTTTGTTTTATTTTTTATGTGCATTACATTTACATTTTTATGTGCATGTACAGAATAGATAACATAAGTGATTCATTTAGCTAGCGGTATATCAAAATGTATATAATAGTGCCTTTAATACCAGTACTGAACATAGCAATACTAGAATATCAATACTAACACTACTTTTTTCTGGTACTGAAATATTATTTAATATTGAAATATTATTATAATAGGTCAGCTTAATATTGGTTTTAAATACATAAATACTTGAAATTTCCAGCCAATTCTGCCTAAAAAATATAAGACACTTCTTGTTTAACTGATAATAAAGTAGACATTTTCAAACTAAATTGATAAATACTGAACATTTAATGATTTTGCATGACTGTTTATACTTGTTTGGTGCTTGTTAATGTTTATGCAAAACTAAAAATGTATGAAAAATTACAACTGTTCTTGAATTAATTTCTTTTCTACTATTAATAATTTAACATAACATTCTATAAGAAATTATAATTACGCTATATAAAAAATTAATCTAATAGATAGATTCATATTACTTTAATATCCAGCACCTAAAGACCCAATATGTTGCAAAAAGTTTATGTATATATATATATATATATATATATATATATATATATATATATATATATTTATATATATATATATATATATATATATATATATATATATATATATATATATATATATAT